GGTGTAGCACTTCCTGCGGTTGCAGGGAAAAGTGCCGGGTGTGGTGGAGCTGGAGGGGAGTGTGGAGCGGACAAGGGAGTCACGGAGAGAGTTGTCCCTCCGGAAAGCAGATAAGGGTGGGGAGGGAAAGATGTCTTTGGTGGTGGGGTCGGATTGCAGATGGCGGAAGTGTCGGCGGATGATGCGTTGGATCTGGAGGTTGGTGGGGTGGTACGTGAGGACAAGTTTCAAAATCTCCCCTCCCCCTCCCGCATCCCAAAACCAGTCCAGCTCGTCCCTGCCTCCCTAACCTGTTCTTCCTCCCACCTATCCCCTCCTCCCACCTCAAGCCGCACCTCCATCTCCTACCGACCAACCTCATCCCACCCCCTTGACCTGTCTGTTCTCCCTGGGCTGACCTATCCCCTTCCTAACTCCCGACCTACACTCACCTTTACTGGCTCCATCCCCGCCTCTTCGACCTGTTTGTTTCCTCTCCTCTATCCGCCTCCCACTCTCTCCCTATTTATTTCAGAACCCCCTTCCCCTCCCCCTCCCCCTTTTCTGATGAAGGGTCTAGGCCCGAAACGTCAGCCTCTCTGCTCCTATGCTGCTGCTTGGCCTGCTGTGTTCATCCAGCCCTGCACCTTGTTGTCTCGGATTCTCCAGCATCTGCAGTTCCTACTATCTCTGAACGAAAGAAAGCTAGCTCGGAGAGCAAGTCAACAACCTCAATGAAGACAGTTCTTGACTTTTAACTTCTCCACCCGAGTCTGTAAAGAACCTGAACTTGCTGTGGTGTCCAACCATACGAGATACTTTTCATATGATTATTACATTAAATGATTAAGTGCAATAATTCACCCACGTTAGTGGATGTCAATACACTTCATTGTCACACTTTATTTAAACATATCTTTGCTGCAACATCTCAAGCCACTTTGTCGATTGAGATTGAAAAGCAAGAGTTTGTGGCTCAGGGCAGTCCTGGAAATCGCTTAAAAGGTTACATAAAGGGGTTGTACCAAATGCTCCAACGTGGCGTAGAAGAAGATAGATGTGAAGGGATCATGCACTTTCACGGAGCTGGTTGAAGCAAAAATATGCATTAAATTAGTTTTTTTCGCGCGCGTTACACGCAGCCAAACATTTTAAACCCTCTCATTTGAAGACAGCGGCTGTAAAATAACGTTATCGAATTGCATTAACCCGGAACTGCTTCACCAAATGTGAAGAGGTCGTTTCCAGCAGAGAGGAAGCGAAGTGATCGAACAGCTCTGTGCTTTGGTGGAGTGCTTCACGCAGCAAGCGATCGCGGACGGGAACACGACCCGCAGCATTATGTGTGCGGCGACACTTGTCAGAGCGCTGTCTAAATGGCTGTGCCCTTCAGATCTCTAACGGGACTGACACGCGTGAATTTTCCGCAATGCCGAATGCGACACAGAGACGGGTTTGATCGCTGCTTGCCGAGTTTATTTCCTGACCCAGAGAAGGTTTTGCAAACCCGGGGACGGAGGTTGGCTTCCACCGTGAACTCTCCCTGGAAGCGGCGCGACCAGGTTCAGCTGATGATGGGAACAGAAGCTGCTCGGAAACGCGTTTGCTCCAGAACTGAGGCTGTTGAACTTCACAGTAAAAGTCCGGCTATTACCAGGATTTCAGTGGAGGGCAATATTGGTAGGGCTTCGCAAGGAAAATTCAGAAAAATAACAGACTATCGCGTGAATTATAGGTTAATCGCACTAGTTTAAAGAGAATAATAGTGTTTTTATTTGAAAAGGAAATGGAACTATCATAAAAATCGTGTCTATTTTGAACAATAGGAAACGTCTACTAATTAAGCAGATAAATGTGAAAATCTCGGGGATTGTGCGAGACATAATTTGAAGTGCGTAGTCCGCTCGTTTCCTCGTGCCCATCGTGTTAAAGCCGATACACATTGCACCGTTTTCTTTCACCGCATCTTCACCGCAAATTTGTATACCAATAAGAATTTACTAAATTTCTCAGACACTTGTAGTTTTTTCAGCCTCGAAAAGCAAATGGTATCATGCATTTCTCAGACACTTGTAGTTTTTTCAGCCTCGAAAAGCAAATGGTATCATGCATTTCTCAGACACTTGTAGTTTTTTCAGCCTCGAAAAGCAAATGGTATCATGCATTTCGTCCTGTGAGGTGTTGCTTTCTTTTGTTTTTTTGCTGCTATTTTAATTCTTTCCCGTTCACCTTAGTTTCTTGATTTAAAACAAATGCAGATTTTGCAATTCTAATGAAAAATAAACTGTAAAACTACACTGTACAATGATATAATATTTTAAAGGTTTAGTCCTGCTTGTTGACATGATTGTTACGAAGGTTAAATAGTTTCGCTGCTAGATAGATGCCTGCTCTTGACTTCCTTTTTTTCCTGAAACACAAACATGTAACGAAACATAGATCCTGACTTTTTTTAATCGGGCCACAGAGTTCAAGACCAACGAAGTTACGCTGAAATTTTATAATACACTATTTAAACTTCAGTTGAAGTGTTATGTACAGTGTATATTTTTAGAAAAATGTGAATAGTAAGAAGTTGACAAGAATGGTTCCGGGGAAAACAAACTTCAGCTGTGAGAGAGTGGTGAAATTGGGATTGCTTTCCTTTCAGAACAGAAAGATACAAGGAGATTTGACAGAGGTTCTCAAAATCATGAGTGGTCTGGGTCGTGGAGGGAGGGAATACTTGCCATTGGTAAATGGATCAAGAATGAGAGAACACATATTTTAGATGATTTTTAAAAGAAGCATCTGTAATTTACAACCTGAGAAAAAACATTTTCATACAGTATGTAGAGATAGAAGGAACTGCAGATGCTGGAGAATCTGAGATAACAAGGTGTAGAGCTGGATGAACACAGCAGGCCAAGCAGCATCAGAGGAGCAGGAAGGCTGACGTTTTGGGCCTAGACCCTTCTTCAGAAATTCTTTGTGAAGAAGGGTGTAGGCCCAAAATGTCAGCTTTCCTGCTGCTTGGCCTGCCGTGTTCATCCACGTAGTTTGGGTTCGGAATGCACTACCTGGAACTGTAGTGGAGGCAGGTTGAAACAAAATATTCAAGAGGCAGAGGATGATTACATGTGCAGAATTACGATGAGAAAGCAAGAGAACAACAGTAACCCATAATACACGTTTGGACGAGTGGTGCTGACCAGTGCCTTGAAATTTCATCCAGAGAGACGTGTAATCTTTCCTCAGTACCATCTGAAAACCACAAGAACGGTCTTCTAGAATGCATTTTACAAGGTTGTGTGTCCATTTTGGAGACAGATAAGCTTTCTTTCCAAAGCAGATCATGTTATAATTACATGGTTGGACTGACGCGAAGTGTATGAATAAGCAAATTGTGAGTATGCCTTGAAAAGCGGGCTGAGTGTAAAAGCAGCTTGTGTTCTTGAAGAACATATGTTTATAAATATCAGGGCATTTTCAAATGTTTTTCCTAAGAAGTGAGTGTTTTTGGTTCCACTAGCATTTGTTTGGAGAACTGTGGTGTGGTATTTCCACGCATGTCCTACACTTGTCCAAGGCGATAGAAGCGCACATTTAGAAGATGCTGTTAAAACAGGCTTGATGAGTTGCTGCAGTGATTCTTGTCCGTGGTATGTACTGCTGCCACTGTGTGCTGAGTGGAGGGAGTGAATGTTTATGGTGGTGAAGCAAATGCCAACTGACCTGATCTTGTAACCACACTATTTGTGTGGCTGATCCAGTTACGTTTTTGATCCATGATAACCTGTAGGATTTTATTGTGGAATTCTGTGATGGCAGTGCCATTCAGTGTCAAAGTCAGATTGTGTTGTGCTGGAGATGATCCTTGTCTCCTACTTGTATGGCATGAACATTATTTGTCGGTTACTAAGCTTACTGGAGCTTGAATGTTGTTGTCTCGCTCTTGCTATGATTGGACGTGAACTGCTTCAGTATCTGAGGAGTCATAGTGCTATTGAACGTTGCACAGTTGGTGGTGAGAAGCCTTCATTCTGTCCTTGTGATGGAATGAAGGTCATTTATAAAGCAGCTGAAGACGATTGGGCCTACGGCACCTTGCTAAAGAAGTCCTGCAGCAATGACCTGGGTTGGGACAGTGGGCCTGCAATAATCACAACCACCACTGACTCTTGTGACTGTCTGACTCCAGATACAACAGAATTTTCCACCTGATTACCATTTCCTTCACCTATTCTGTTAGAATACCTTGGTGATTTGAAACAGATCTTTGGAAATTCATCAAATGCTTTGAAAAAAACTGACTATAGGAAGAAACACAAAGAACAGCCAAACTCTAATCTAGAGATGGTAGGAACTGCCGATGCTGGAGTCAGAGATAACACAGTGTGGAGCTGGATGAACACAGCAGGCCAAGCAGCATCAGAGGAGCAGGAAAGCTGACGTTTCGGTTCTGGACCCTTCTTCAGAAATGGGGGAGGGGAAGGGGGCTCTGAAATAAATAGGGGGTGCAGTGATAGAAGGTGGATAGTGGAGCAGGTAGGTGGGAGAGAAGACAGGCAGATCAAGGAAGGGGGGATGATGCTAATAAAGGCGAGTAGGTAGGAAGTGGGGGTGGGGGCTGGTCAGTGAGGAGGGAGGGGCAGATAGGTGGGAGAGAAGACGGACAGGTCAAGGAGGCGGGGATAGGGGGGGAGGGTGCTGGTCTTGGGATGAGGTCGGGGTGGGGAGATTTTGAAGCTGGTAAAGTCCACATTGAGACCATTGGGTTGTAGGGTTCCAAGGCAGAATATGAGGTGCTGTTCCTCCAGTTTCCGGGTGGCATCGCTGTGACATTGGAGGAGGCCCAGAATGGACATGTCGTCCAGGGAGTGGGAGGGGGAGTTGAAGTGGTTCGCGACTGAGAGGTGTTGTCGTTTGTCACGAACCGAGCGTAGGTGCTCCACAAAGCGGTCTTCGAGCCTCTGCTAGGTCTGCCCGATGTAGAGGAGGCCGCATCGGGAATAGCGGATACAATACACCACATTAACGGATGTGCAGGTGAACATCTGTTGAATGTGGAAGGATTTTTTTGGGGCCTGGGATGGAGGTGAGGGGGGAGGTGGGGCCAGGTGTAGCACCTCCTGCAGTTGCAGGGAAAGGTGGTGGGGCTAGTGGGGAGTGTGGAGCGGATGAGGGAGTCATGGAGAGAGCGGTCCCTCCGGAATGCAGATAAGGGTGGGGAGGGAAATATATCCTTCGTAGTGGGGTCAGATTGCAGGTGGCAGAAATGGCGGAGAATGATGCGTTGAATCAGGAGGTTAATGGGGTGATACGTGAGGACAAGTGAGGACAAACTCTAATCTATTTGTTCCAGTTACATATCAAAACTTTTCAATAAATCTCTATGCATTTAAGCATGAGCACATCAAGTGCTGATGTAACATAAGAATGCAACACAAGAAATAGGAGCAGTAATAGGTCATTTGATTCATCCACAGCTTACCATGTCAAATGAGATATTGGCTGATCTGATTGTGGTCCTAACTCCACTTTCCAATCGATAACCTCTGATGCCCTTGTGAATCAACAATCTGTCTAACTCGGCCTTGAATATATTTAGTGACACAGTTTCAACTGCTGAGGAAGGAAGAGGAATTCCAGATACTAACAACCCGCTGAGAGATTTTTTAAAAACCCTCTCATCAATATGAAAGCAAAAAATGCTAGAAGTACCCTACAGGTCTGGCAGTGTCTGTGGAGTGAAAAGTAAACTTAAGGTTTCAAGTCTGAAAAGTTTGGATTTAGCTTGTTGCTTGCCAAAATAGCCAAGAAGAACTGGTATGGGTATCCAATGGGATAATCAAAATGCAAACAAAAGCTTTTGAACACCTCATGATCACACTATTTATATTTCTTGAAGATTGACCGATATTTTCTGCTTTTACTTAGCTGTCGGTAAATCCACATTTGCTGAACTGTTGGAGCAGGTAGCCAGTAAGCAATGGGAAATTATTCGGGAGCCCATAACCAAATGGTGCAACATTCCAACTTCCAGCTGCAGTGAGGTAAGCATCACATACTTACAACGTGATTAAAACTGACCAAATTACACATGGAGCTGCTATGTCTCTAATCAGAACAATTATGATCTTATTCTACAGTTAAATATTCGTGGTCACACCTTGTATTAATTGAATCCAGGAGACAGTTTTGTTTCTTTTAGCGCTGTCCCATAGGGGTACCTTTCAGAATTTGGGGCTTTTTTTTATTCTCACCAACTTGTTTACTGGATGATACACTCATATAGTTAAGAAACAGCTTTTGTATTTCTGATGACATCTCGGTTATTTTGACACACACACAGAAGTAGAAATACAAAAACTTTTACCAGTATTGTCAATAATTCTTATGACAGGAGCAAGGTAGAAAATACAATTGACAATAAACAGGAATACTGAAGGTGTGGGATTTAGGTGAAAAAGCAAATCAGAGAAACGAAGAGGAATCATGAGAAAAGTCTATCAGCTAACATAAAAGGAAATCCCAATGGCCTCTTGAGGCAAATAAATCGTAAGTAGGTCATTAAAGTAGGAGCAGGGCTGATCAGAGATCAAAAAGAGGATTTGCGTGTGGAGGCAAGGGCATGGCTCAGGTTTTAAGTGAACACCTTGCATCCCTCTTTACCAAAGAGGAGGATACTGTCCAGGACACGGTGACAGAAGAGGAAACGCTGCACCAGAAATGTTCAAAATGAATAAGACAGAAGTATTGAAGAGATTGTTGGGACATGACGTCGACAAAGGCACTGGGGCTCTGGGAAATTCATTGAAGGATTTTGAAGGAAATGAGAGTGGAAATCTTAGGAGCAATCTTTGAGTCTTCCTCGGACTTAGGGGAGGTGCCAGATGACTGGAGAATTGCAAACATTATGGGCTTGTTCAAGAAAGATTGTAAGGATAATCCCAGCAATTAGAGACCAGTTAGTTTAACTTCAGTGATGAGAAAACGTCAAGAAACGACTATTCAGGATGAAATTAGTAGTCACATGGAAATAGGTGGGTTGACGAGGAAGTGTCGCCATGGTTATCTAAAGGGGAAATCATGTTTAACTAATGTATTGGAGTTTTGGAAGAGGTAACAAAAAGGGTCTAAGAGGGTAACACTGTTGATATGGTATACATGGATTCTAGAAGTTATTTGATACTGTGCGACACGAGATTTTTGTGAGGTAAGTTATAGGTCATGGTACAAACGGTGCAGTAGCACTTGGGATATAAAATTGTCTGAGTGATAGGAAACAGAGTAATGGTCAATGAATATCCCTCAGGCTGGGTGGAGGTTTGTAGTGGAGTCCCCCACAGTCAGTATTGGGACCCTTGCTTTTCCTGAAAGATATTACTGATTTGGATCTGGGTGTGCAGGAGATAGTTTCAAAGTTTGCAGAAGACACAAAACTTGGAATAATTGTAATCTGTGAGGAGGATAGTGTGGAACTCCAAAAAGACAGTGACAAGTAGTGGGGTGGGCAGATAGGTGGCAAATGAGACTCCATGCAGAGATGTGTGAGGTGATGCATTCTGGTCAGGGGAGCATTGAGAGACCATATAAAATAGTGGGTACCAGAGACCTGGATGTATACATACACAGATGGTGGCAGAACAAGTGGAGAGAGCAGTAAGTAAAGCATACAATGTTCTCGACTATATTAATAGGGGCATAGAATACAAGAGTGCATGTTATTTAACTTGCACAAGACGCTTGCTAGACCTCAGCTGCAGTATTGTGTCCTGTGTATTGTGGGTGCCAAAGCCCAGGAAAGATGTGAATGCATTGGAGAGAGTTTCCAAGAATGTTCCACGTGATAAGAAATTTCAGTTATAATGGCAGATTGAAGATATTGAACCTGTTCTTGGACAGAACAAGGTAAAGAGGAGATTTGATAGAGATATTCAAAGTCATGAACAGGCTGGACAGAGTAGATTTGGAGAAGCTGTTCCTGCCCACAAAAGGAAAAAAGAACGAGAGGGCATAGATTTAAAGTGATGCGCAAATGAGGCAAGGTAATGTGAGAAATAACTTTTTCACACCGTGAGTAGTTAGGGGAGGAATGCATTGTCTGGGAAGGTGGCGGAGTCTCAAAGGTGAGAGGGAGCAGCCTGGCATTGGAGGAGTACCTCCTCAAAAATTGCCCCTTTTTTTACAGACAGGGAAACATCTCTGTAATTGGTTGCTGATTGTGGTCATAACAAGATAAGTAAATATTGGTCATGTCATTTTACTGCCAGCTGGTGTTCATGTATCCTGGTCGTTGGCTTCCTCCCCGTTTGTCTGACGTAAGGTCTATTGCACTCGCTGCTTGGACTAACGTGATGTACAGAATCCCATGCAGCGAGTGTAATAGATCTTACATTGGACAAACGGGGAGGAAACTGATGACCAAAATACATGAACACCAGCTGGCAGTAAAACGACAAGACCAATATTCACTTATCTCAATACACACAGACAGTGAAGGCCATCAGTTCGACTGGGCCAAGCAAACAGCAGGCATGCAAGGGAATTTCTAGAGGGCTGGTTCTCAACACAGGACTCCATTAACAAACACATAGAAATAGACACTTATACAGACCACTGTTGTAAAACAGAACCGGAAGTGACAAGACCCATCGCACCAGAGGATCATATAAATTCGGAATGGAGCAGAACACCAACGCTTCGATTAGAGGTCACACTGATGATGTTGCCTCGAATGGTAACAAAACGTCTGGACATCATGGAACAACCGGCTCAGCGAGCAAACAAACAACTGCATCCATAACCCAAGTTACAAATTTTGCTAATACCTTAAAAATCCCACTGTTGTGTGCTTCCTGAACCAAAATACTTGCTGGCACAGTTGTTAATAAAACTTGTGAAGTGAAAAATAGTTTTTATTTGGGACTCGTTTATTATAGCTTTATTGCAGCTACAATTTGAAATTTTGGCTAGGCTTCCTGCAGACATGATAGGACAATCAAGTGTCATAGACGTTACATCTTGGCAGGATTGCAAAGTTGAAAAGAGAATGCTGTTTAATAAAATAATATCTTGCATTCTGAAGATGTGGGTGCTATTCATTGTGGTTTCTGAGGCTGCAGAGAGTTGTAGGAGTTGTTGAGGAGCTGTGCCCTTATTGAATTATCTCTAATCAAGGTTAAATTGCCTTTTTTAATAAACTGCATCAGAAAGCTACTTTAACATCATTGACTGCAGGTACAAAAAAATTGCAAAAGTTGCCTCTTTGTTGCAGTTATGTGGCTAAACGGTGACACAGTTGTTTCTGAGTCAGAAAATTGCGTACTACTCCCACTGTGTCGAACACAAAAATATGGAAAGAAAATGTGAAAAGGAACTGCTAGAGATCCCATTTTTAATGTGAAATGTTACTACTTTTGAGTGCCAGTGATTTGTGGTTGTGATAAATTTAAGGAATCCAGTTGTTAAACCACAATGTGGATGAATATATAAAAATTCTGGTTATCTCTATACATCTCAAAGTGCTTGACGTGAAGAATCAACCAAACAATTTGAATTCATTTCCGGGGAACATTCACAAAATTGGTTGACCCTATCCAGGTGAAGTTCATATGTTGTATTGTGTCCAATAGTGTTTACTTTGTGATAGCGTCAGACTTTAATGTAGCCGACCCGTATACCACAGCCATTTTAACTTTATTATAACCGAGGTTACTCATGTGAATGAAGTATATTGACTGCCCGAATATTCACCAGCAATGTTGAGCAGCTAAAGTGCATGAAATCACATCAGTATTCACATGCTTTAGCCTGTAACTTCTCCTCCGTCAAACTTTAACTGTTTCCATTTGTTGTGATGGTCCTACAATATGCTTCAGAAGATGAACAACAATAAGCAAAAAATATCAGAAGTTTCTTAGCAGTGAAACATCAAAAGGTAAGTACGGTCTTCTTTTTATTATGAATGAGAAAATTGATGGCATGAGACTGTACAACATTCACATCACAGATATGTCTGTGTTGCACTGGAAGTAAATATACAGTACATACAAGGTTTCTGAACATGTAAACAGATGAGACTTGAAGCATGTGGAAGTAATTTGCAGTAACTTACTGTAAAATTCCCAACAGGAATGTTATATTTTAAAATAATTTTGAATCATTGATTGTGTCATGAAGAATTCATTACTGACTGCTCTGACTTAAAGGGAATTAAATAACTGAAAGAATTAATCAAGAATCCCTACAAGTGTAGAAGCAGGCAATTTGGCCCATCAAGCCTACACTGACCCTCTAAAGAGCATCACACCCAAGCTCAACCACCCCTCCACCCCCACCCTGTTCCTACAACCCTGCACTTCCGTGGCTACTCCACCTAACCTGCACAGCTTTGGACTGTGGGAGGAAACTGGAGCATCCAGAAGAAACCCACGCAGACATTGGGAGAACTTGCAAAGTCCACAAAGATAGTCGCCCAAGAATGGGTGGAAAAGTGTAGATAAAATTACTGAAGGATGTTTAAAAACAAAATACATTGCATGTGGCTGTTAGCCTCGTTGACCCGTTTGTTAAATGGTAAATAAATACTCAAGCTAGTGGTAAAGCACTGTGTGTCACTTTTGCAGTTGCAACAAACTTGCTTCTTGGCACATCTCATCTCACAATTGAGGCTGATGCTCATGGGTAGAACTGATGGAATGTTGCACCTTTGGGAGCCTAAACTATCAGCTGAGTTAAATCATGACCCCATTTGCCCGATTTGGTGGAGCATTTTGAGAAAGAGTTTTCCTGATGTTTATCTCTCAACCAATGTGAAAAAATGGTTATGTTGTTACTTGTTTCACTTCTGCTTGTGTTACCTTGCTGAATGAAAATTGACTGTAACATCTGCTTAGGTTATCATAGAAAGTATATTTGATTGGCACTTAATTGATTATCAAGTGCCATTGAATATCCTCCTTGTGGGAAAGTAAGGTTTTTTTACACTTTTTACGGATTTTGAAAACTCAAAGTTAACAGAAAATGAAAATATAAAAGAAATGAAGCCGAAATGTAGCAAGTCAGTCAGCAGAAAGTGAAAATGGGCTCACGTTTCAAATGAAATTTGACTTTTGTGTCATTCTGAACTATTGACTCATCTCTTCTGGCTGCTGACTCAGTAGATATGAATTTGCAATACTTTTGCATTGTATTTCAGTTTTCACAGTTTTTATTAACAAATGTTTGTTATTCCCCAGGAGTTGTCTTCCACACAAAATACTGCTGGTAACCTACTTCAGATGCTGTATCAGGATCCCCACCGTTGGTCCTATACCTTTCAGTCATACTCCTGTATGAGCCGAATCAAGGCCCATTTGGCACCAGTATCTCCCAGACTACTAAATGCAGAACAACCAGTGCAGATATTTGAAAGATCAGTCTACAGTGATAGGTAACTACATGGCTACAGTGTTGTCTCTTAATGCTGTCTACTTGATGAGTTCCTTAAAATGGACTGGGAAGTGCAAAACTTCCATCACAGTCTATTTCAATAGAATACCTTTGTGCCTTAGTGGTGACTTTTCTGTTTTACTGAATATATTGAAGAAAGACACAGTTAGTCTCTTAGATTGTCAAGGCATCAAGGAGTATGGAGAGGACGTGCGAATATGGCATTGAGATAGAGGATCAGCCATGATCATATTGAATGGCAGAGGCTCAAAGGACCAAATGGCCTGCTCCTTCTCCTAGTTTCTTGGTTTCTTTATGAAATAACTCGAAATAGGCTGGTATCCCATCACCAAGTCACCCTTAATTTACACATGAACAGTCTGTGACTCTAGTACTGCCTTTAAAGCTCCCAGAATGACAGCTTCTCTGATACTCCTGTGTCTGTCTGTCAGACAGGGCTCCCTGATTGGACCAGATTAACAGCCCCATTCAGGGACCTCAGATTCTACGAGGTCCACCTGGCTGACCTCATGACAATCACTACATGATCCACCTCTTGTTATGACCTTGATGTGTAAAGTGGTTAATTATGGATTATTTTAAGTTATAAATTGCACTCATTAGACTCTCAGGGGATGGTAGCACAGTGGTAATTTTCCTGGATCAGTGATTGTAAGACCCAGAATAATAACCTGGAAAGATGTGTTCAAAACCAAGAGAGCTAGTAGAATTTAATTCAGTTAAGTAATCAAGCTGAATGATTTGGTGGGTCGGTGGATTATTTGATAAAAAATCTGGAATGAAATGCTAGTCTCATGAACAGTGAAGAAATTATCATGTGATCATTTAAAAATCTCACTGGTTCACTAACATCCTTCAGGGAGGGAAATCTTCTGTTCTAGGCTTGGTCTGGTCTACAGAACGACAGTGTGTTGACTCTTAAATGCCCTCTGAAACAGCTACTCTGTTTTACTAACACGTGACAGAAAAGTTAAAATGGCAGAAAACTGGGCAGACCACCTGACATTGACCTCAGCACCAGAAACAACAATGGCCAGTCTAGTCGAGTTGATCCGACAAAGTCCTCCTTACTAATTTCAGGGCACTTGCGTCAAATTGGGAGAGATGTGCCACAGGTCGATTGGACAGTATGCTGGAAACATCAAACTCGCTGCATCGTATGTTCATCTGACAATAGGTCATACATCACCATCCCTGGTTGAGCAATTTTCCACTGGCAGGACCTTCATCATAGCGAGTGGCAGCATTGAATAGTTACAAAGCAGTTACCGTCTGAATACTTGACATTGATTTTGCACCCCATGAATTTTTATGGCATCAGGTTAAATTTGGGGAGGGAAATCTGTTGATTACCACTTCTCCTGCCTCAGCTGATGAACTAATATTGTTCCATGTTGAAAACAACTTTGGAAAGTCATTGAGGGTGGTAAGGGCAGAGAATGTACTCTCAGTGGGAACAATAATGTCCATCCCAAGTGTAGCTCAGGAGCATTACTAAAAACTGAACTGGCTAAGTTCTGAAGGATATTCTGGTCATCGGTCACTCAGTTTACCTACCATCAAAATAACAGCACCGTCCTTGTAAAGATGAAATCCTGCCTTCACTTTGAACCATACATCCATCATGTTGTCTGACACAACCACCATACTAAATGGGTTATATTGAGAGCATGTAAACTGCTCAAATTTTTGCAATGCCACGTATTAGTTTTCAGTCAGATGTGCAAGCATTGTAATGACTTGCCGTATTGATTCTCCTCTATGAAAGATGGGACAGACCTGTACTTGGTTCCTGTCTCTGGAATGTCAAAATTAGAATCTTTTAGCCGCTGCCAATGGCACACACTTTGATAATTTTCTGAACGACACCATGTGCAATGAATTATACATAGCCCCTGACAAGTATGAGTGAAGATTTTTCCCCAGTCGTCTTTTCTCTTACTTACTCCTTATATGAAACATGGTTCCACCATAGAATTGTCTTATAGATCCAAACTCTCGTTTTGTAATCCATGAGCCTCAACACTGATTTTGAAGACTGTTTAATCAGGGAAGCCAAAACTGACCTTCCCTTTCAAAATCCAATATATGCATCTTTCATTTCATATTGAAGAGGAAACAGAATTGTGGTTGACTTTTTTCTCACCCCTCCTTAGCCACGGTGTAATTGATGTTGTTTTGAGTAACCTCACCATGGCCATAGCATAAATCAACCAATATACAGAGGAGATTGAAACTGAGCCTTGACATACTGTATTTTTCAGCTGCTTTATGAATAAAGTCACTGAACAATGGAGAATCCTTCAAGGCTACAACCGACACTCCAACTTGAAATTAATTATTAAATCAATAGCTCTGATCTGCTTAGATTACCACTTGACTGGAAGTTTGCAAAATGCTTACAAAAGCTCCAAAGTAGAATTGAACATTTTTCTGGTTGTTCAAGGATTAAGAAACTTGAATTGAGTCATGTTTGTGATTATCAATGTAGGTATGTATTTGCATCCAATTTATATGAAATTGGTTGGTTGAATGACATTGAATGGACCGTCTACCAGGACTGGCACACTTATCTTCTCAATCAATTTGGTAGTCGAATAGCTTTGGAAGGAATTATCTATCTTCAAGCATCCCCTGAAGTAAGTCATGTGCTGAAATTTAACAACACTGACTAATAGTTCTTGATTTTGATGTTTTAACTGTGCAGAATTAATTAAATGGTGTTGTGAACTCTGAGGGATTATCTTTAAGCTTCTCATATGACCTGTTTGGCAATTCACACATTTCTGTGAAGGAAATTTGATGCAGGCAAATACAACCAAATTAAATTTTTAAGTGAAAGAAAGGAAAAATAATGGCGATAGCTCTATGTCGAGTTCCACTCTGTCGTGGCGATATTGAGAAGGCATTAAACAGGAAATTAGAAATACAAGCAATAAATATACAGCTGTAGTTATGGGTGACTTTCATCTGCATAAAGATGGACAAAATTAAATTAGTAGTAATAGCCTAGAAGAGCAGTTCCCAGAGTGTCTACATGGAGGGTTTTCTGGTTCAATGCATTCAGGAACAAACTAAAGAACAGGCCATCTCAGACTGGGCATTGTTCAATGAAAAAGGGCTAATTCACATTCTAGCTGTGTGAGGATTCTTGGGGAAGAGTGACCATAAAATGACAGAATTCTTCATTAAGATGGAGAGTGACATAGATGATTTCAAGACTAGAGTCTCAAACTGAAATCAAGGAATTTTTTGATGCTATGAGGCATGAGCTGGCTCTGATAAATTTGGGGACGTTACTGGAAGGGATGATGGTGGACAGACAATGGCAAAAAAATTAAAAGAGCATGTGGATGAACTGGAACAATTCTTCATTTTTGTTTGGCATAAAAATAAAATGGGAAAGGTGGTCTGACCATGGCCAACAATGTATTAGATCAAGGAAGGTGTATATAAATTGGCCACAAAATGCAGCAGATCTGAGGATTGGATGCGGTTTAGATTTCAGCAAAAGGGGACAAAGAGATTAAGAGGGAGAAAATAGGTTAAGTTTGTGGAGAACATGGAAACTGGTTGTAAAAGCTTCCATAGGTATGTGAAAAGAAAAAAACATGTGAAAATGAATAAAAGTCCCTTTTAGTCAGACACAGGCTAAGTTATAATGAGGAACAAAGAGCTGGCAGACGAATTCAATATATGCTTTAGTTCTGCCTTCACAAAGGAGACACAAATAATGCCCCGAATATGTTAGGGAACAGAGGTATTCATGAGATGGAGGAAATGAAGGAAATCAGTATTAGTTGACAAATTATGTTTGGGCATTTGAAGGGATTGAAGGCTGATAAATCCTGAGGGTCTGATAATCGACATCACAGATAACTTAACAAAGTGGCTGCAGAAATAATTATTGCTGGTCATCTTTCAAGATTCTGTAGTGTTTGAGACAGTTTCTGCAGATTGGAGCGAAGCCAATATAACTCTACTATTTTAAAAAGGAGGTAGAGAGAAAATGGAAACATTGACCAGTTCGCATGACATTGGTACTTAGTGCTGAGAACAGTCGTTCTGCCCAATGAGTCTACACCAACCCTCCCACCCAAACCGAACCCTACCCTGTCCTCATTACCCTGCATTTCGCATGGCTAATCCACTTAGCCTGTACATCCCCAGATGCTGTGGACAATTTGGCATGCCTAATTGTCTTAACCTGCACACCTTTGGACTGTGGGAGGAAACTGGAACACCTGGAGGAAACCCACGCAGACACAGGACAAACCTGGAAACTCCAGACAGACAGTCACTCAAGGTTGGAATCGAACCCAGGTCCTTGGCGTTGCGAGGCAGCAGTGCTAACCAATAAATCACCATAATGCCCTTTTTTTTATATTGCCCTTGATGATCTTATGTAACTATTGATTTCCCCAGTTTCCACCCCTGAATGTCCCCAATGCTGGAGCCTATTATGAAAGATTTAATAGCAGATTGCTTGGAAACAGTAAAAGGATTCAGCACAGCCAACATGGATTTACATCAGGGAAATCAATTGACAAATCAGTTGGAACTTTTTGAGGATGTAATTTCTTTTCAAGTTGATAGTGGGGCTGGTGGATATGGTTGACTTGGACTTCCGATTAGGTCCACAACTGATTAGTTTGTAAAATTAAAATACCTGGGATTGGGGGTCATGTGGAGAACCAGAGGGAGAACTGGATCGGAGGCAGAAAACAAAGTCTAGGAATAAACAGGTCTTTCTTTGAGTGACACGCAGTGTCTGATGGGGTACTTGAAGGATCAGTGCCTGGATCCCTGCTCATTACAATATATATTGATTATTTAGATGAGGAAATGTAATATTTCCAAGTTAATGGACTACACAAAGCTGGGTAAGAGGGTGAGTTATGAGGAAGATGTAAAGATGCTTCAGAATGATTTGGACAAGTTCAGTGAGAGGAGAAATGCTTGCCAGATAAAATATAACATGGATAAATGTGAGGTTATCCAGTTTAGAAGCAAGAACAAGAAGGCAAATTATGACCTGAATGGTGATAAATTGGGAAAGAGAAGGTGCAATGAGGCCTGGTCGTCCTTGATGTTATTTGTTGAAAGTGAGCATGTAGATGCAGCAGTGGTGAAAAAGTCAAGTGGTACGTTGGCCTTGATAGCGAGAGGATTTAACTGCAGGAGGAAGGATATCTTGGGACAATTGAACAGGGCCTTGGTGAGACCACACCTGGAGTAATATGCGCAATTATTGTTGTCTTACCTGAGGAAGGGTGTTCTTGCTGTGGACGGAGTGCAGCAAAAGTTTCTCAGACTTATTCCTGAGATGGCAGGGCAGACATGAAGAAAGACTCGATTGGTTAGGATTCTATTCACTGAGATTTAGAAGACTAAGGGAGGATCCTACGGAAACCTATAAAATTCTAATGGGACTAGACAGAGTAAATGCAGCAGTGATGTTCCTGATGACCAGGGAATCCAGAACCAAAGATCACGGGGGTTTAAGGATGTGGGGAAGGCCATTTCGGAGTGAGATAAGGAGAAATTTCTTCACTAGGAGAGTGGAAAGTGGTTGAGCTCAAAACGTTGAATGTTTTTGAGAAGGAATTCGATGTGGTTCTTGGGGCGAAAGGGATCCAAGGCTATAAGAAGTGGGAAGATTGTAATGCTTTGATCATATTGAATGGTGGACCAAGTTCGAAGGGCTGAATGGCTGACTCCTACTCCTAGTTTTAAGATTTCCCTTCATGATCATTATCTTTTTTTCAACACCAGCACAACTTTCCTAACCAGTACTGGTATTTCACCTTGATTTTTTTCCTCCCTTATAGAATCATACAGCATGGAAACAGACCCTTCGGTCCATTCAGTCAATGCTGAACATAATCCCAAACTTACCGAGTCCGACCTGCCTGCTCCTGGCCCATATTCATGCAGTTATCCAAATGTCTTTCAAACATTGTAATTGTGCCCACATCCACCACTTCCTCAGGAAGTTCAGTCCACATGTGAACCACCCTCTGTGTAAAAAAAAAACAAAATTGTCCCTCGTGTCTTTTAAAGTCTCTCTCCCTTCACCTTAAAAATGTGCCCCAGTCTCAAAATCATCCATCCTAGGGAAAGACACATACCATTAACCCTATCTGTACCCCTTATGATTTTGTAAGGTCATCTCAACCTCCTATGCCCTCCTATGCTCCGGATAAAAAAAAAATCCAGTCTATCCAGCCTTTCTTTGTAACTCAAACTTTCCATACTTCGCAACATCCTGGTAAATCTCTTCTGAATCCTCTCCAGCTTAATAATATCCTTCCTATAATTGGGTGACCTATCTTTTGTGAACTCTTTGTATCCTTTAATATTAGGCACTTAGTTCTTTCCATTATTGCCACTGCATAATACTCCCACATCACCGTTTGTGTGTACAAAATCAACTTTATTCACCAAGCAAACATGAATCTATTGGCATAATCTTTGTACAAGGTGTAAATGAGAAACATTAAGAGTACTGTGCACTGTTCTGGACTCCATATTTCGGGATAGATGAAGTGAGAGTACAGAGGTCAAATACGATGGACAAAATTACTACCAGAAATAAAAGTTTACACATCTATGGAGAGACCGAAAAGGCCGGAACTCTTTTCTCTGGAAAACAGAAGGCTGAGAGGTTACCGGTGGGGGGATCTTCAAAATTATGAAAGGGTTTGATGGGGTAAATATAAAGAAAATGATTCCGTTTAGAATGGAAATCAAAAACCTCCGGTCATAAGGATCAGATAATCAGAAATAAGTCCTTTGATGAATTCAGGGAAAATATGTAATCTGAGACTGTACGATTGTGGAACTAGCTTTAGATAAATGATCGAGATGTGTTTAAGGAAAAAAGATACATATATTCGAGGGAGACAGGAAGAGAAGCTAATGCTGGCAGGGTAAGGTAAAAGCAGTCAAATATAAACACTAATTTCTTTGCTGTAAATTCCATGTTAGGAAATCTTTAAAGAGTTTGTATAAATGCTTCAGAAAATGAATGCCTGATAGACATACTTGTTCCTTTGAGATATTACAAGCAGAAAGCTTTCAGTAAGTAAGAACAGAAAATGCTGGATATACTTCAAGATTTTAGATCAAGTTTTGCATGATTTCAGTTGTGCAAAAAAGTCTGCGAAATCTAGTGAAATGTATGGCACTGGATAGAAACATTGACTAAAAAGGGAAGCACTGTAGGAAGTGCTTTCTTGCATTTGGAGAAGCTGTTGAATGGTATTTTTAATGGGATCAGTGACTTTATCTCTCATGTTTTATTTATATAAATGGGCTGGACTCTGAAATCACCTTCAAGATTGTTGCATTTGTGAATGATACTACTAAAGTAACCAATACATTAAAAATTAGACTGCAGTAAGATATTTTCAAAAATACCTGTTTAATTTGTCAAAATTACAAATCAAAATAAAGCCTTGCTGATGCAAAATGGTACTCAAGAGGGTAAGGAAAACTTTATCAGAATCAGCAAAAGCTTCTGATCACACTTACTTAAGTTTAGAATGAGAGACTTTTCCTGTATGAATTTTACTATTAAGTCTTGCTCCTCAAAGTGATGTGACTTTTGACCAAAGGAAATTGGTATAATATTTAACTGATAATTGGAGATGGGGGGTTACATGTGTGTGTTGAACTGTTTTCTGTCTCTGAAATATTTTGAGACAGCCATCATTTTTTTTCCACAGAAGTGTTTGGAACGATTACACCGAAGGGGTAGAGATGAAGAAAAGGAAATTCAACTGGAGTACCTGAAACAGCTCCATTCACAACATGAAAACTGGCTTGTGAAACGCTGTACAGAGTAAGTGATTTTGATTCAAATTTTTCTGTTCTTTTGTGTTTAATTTCATGGCAAATTGCAAATTCTAATGACATCTGCTCATAATGGAATGATTATATTTTTTCCCTGAACCTTTTAATTAATAGTTCTTCCTGCCATTTTGCTATTCTTTTTCTGCTTTGTTCCTTATAAAGCAAAATTCAACAACTGAGTCTGCCAAAATGCAGCTTAATGCCCAGAACTCCGTAAAGATCAAATCATCGAATGATGCATCAGACGAGAGCTATCCAGTGAGCGCTCCACTCCTGCAGTTTCCCTCTTTCCCTGTCATATTTTCTATTTAAATATTTAGCTAATCCTCTTTTGAAAGTTACTCCAGAATCTGCACATGCTACACTTTGAGAAAATGCGTTCCAGATCAAATTGCCATGCTAGTCTCGTTGCCAATGACGTTTCTTTGTGTCTTTGTGTTCTGCCACTAAAAATTGTTAGTCTGTATTTCCTGCATTTGTGATTTTGTACATCTGTTTTAAATCACCTCTTACGCCCCAAGGAGAACAGCTCTTCTGGGCTCCCTGCAGGGATTAGACAACTTTTCCAAAGTGCAGTGCACAAAATTAAACGTAGCAGTCAGACGTAGTCTATTCAGTAAGTTTAGCATAGTTTCCCTATTTTAAAGTCTCCTTCTAAGATCATAAGAAATAGGAGCAGGAATATGCCATTCCACCCCTCGAACCTACTCTGCCTTTCAATTAGCTCATGGCTGATATGGCCTTAATTTCACTTGCTTGCAGGGTCCCCTCCCTCACCCTCTAGACTCCTTTGTCACTCAAAAACTGTCCAACTCCGTCTTGAATGTCTTTAGTGTCCCTGCCTCGGTGTTTTCTGGAGAAAATGATTCCACACGGTACCAACCCTCTGAAGTGAGAGATCCCCTTATTTTTAAACTCTGCCCATCAATTCTAGATTCCGTATGAGGGTAAACATCCTGTCAACATTTACCTTGCCAAGTCCCCTCAGAATCTTGGATGTGTTCTAAACTCCCAGACCCAACTCTCAATCTGTTCTTGTAAGATAGTCCCTTCATTTCAGGAATCAGCCCAGTGAGACTTTTCTAAACTGCCTCGAATGCAAGTATATCTCTCCTCCTATAAGGAGATCAAAACTGTAAAGGAATCAAAAAGGAATTGATATAACTGCACAGAGGCCAGTATCCCATCACTAAAGTCACCCTTTATTTACTTGTGCACAGTACACTGCCTGTGGCCAGTCAGCTTGGAGTCAGTTACCTGAACTGAGAAGATTCTAATCCCCTGGGAATATTGGTCAGCCGGGGCTTTCCTGGTTGGCCCAGGTTAACAAACCCAGGCAACGACCTCGTAGTCAATGAGTTCAACCTGGTTCCAATCACTACAGGAACATAGTCTAAAAGTGCTGGACTGTATGTGCAAGGCAAAACAATGACACGAGTAAAAATAAATCTTCCTCAATTTCTTACAGGCAGTATACTTATTTCAGAATGTGCTGTGCATTTTAAATCCTCCATTTCAGGATTGAAACTTTGTAGCCAAATATTCTTTTCAGTAAAAATGGTCTGTAGCTGGATATTTATGCAGGAGCAGTGTCCACCCCACCCTTGCTAAAAAGTCAAGTCTGTCCCCCATCTGTTTGGCTCTGCAGCGATTTAGCATCGCTTGGGCTGAGGGCATGACCTCTGCCCTATCTGAGAGGAGGTCTCGCATCTCAGAACTGTTAATCAATCAGATGGCCAGTAGGTTTGAAGCACAGCAGTGCTATTGGGAATGCAGTGAGCCCCCATCAATGATTATAATAAGAACAAGCACAGATCAGACATCACCGAGAAGGAGAGAACATGTTAGTGAGCATCCCCGGAATACTTTTTGATTTCCTGCACTGAGAATCGGGATGAAACCTTTTTAGTCAGTTCCCCACCTGCAAGTCGCAGAGAAATTATGATGTGTGGAAGACATGTGGAGAAAGTGTTTCTTTTGTTTTACATGGGGAATTATCTCCATTCTTTCCATTTTCAATAGACTGCACTTTGAACATCTGAGGAACATTCCAGTGTTGGTGTTGGATGTCAATGAGGATTTTGAGGATGATAAAACAAGACGAGAAAAGCTGTTCGAAGAAGTAAAGTGTTGTTCTTTCTTCTCATGTTTTTGTTGATTTTTCCTCAGTTTATTGATTCATGGAATATAAGCCTAGAATTTGTTGTCCATCTCTAATTACCCTCGAGTAGATTCTGCAAAACTGCCTCTTGAACCATTAGTATCTCTAGTACACATGGTGAAAGGATTCTAGTCGTGCTGTTTGGTAGTACACTCCAGAATTTTGACCTAAAGGTTATGAAGGATTTCTGAAATATTCAGAAATCAGGATAGTGCAAAACGTAGATGGAAACCAGTGGATGATGGCATTCCCATACACCTGTGACCCTGTCCTTCTTGGAAGTAGAGGTCACAAATTTGGTTAAAATCTTTTCACATGATTTGAGTTTAGCATTGTTAGTGAGGTCAACGTATGTTGCCCATTCCTCATTGCTTGACAACAAGTGGTGAACTGCCTTCTTGAACCACTCCTGTCCTGATGATGGAGATGCATCCCCGATTCTGTAATGAAGGGAGTTCCAGCTGTTGAGGAAACTGAGGCTATTTGTTGCAACACACCTTGTAATTGATATTCATACTGCAGCCACTGTTTGCTGGTGGAGGCGTCACCGTTTCAGGTGTCAGATAGGTGCCAAATAAGTGAGCTATTTGTATAGTTGGTGTCACGTTTCTTGAGTATGGTCAGATGGCCCTGATCCAGACAGATGCAGAGTATTCCATCATGATCCTGAATTGTGCCTTGCAGTCATTCACCACGGAATGCCTTTTCTTTGACCCATTCTTGTATCTACAATAATCTATTTTGTGCTATGCCAGTGTCTGGAGAAGACATAATTGAAGGAGGATTCTCAAAGACTCAAATGTTTCTCCTTACAAAGAATATAGCGGTATCCTGGTCCCAAGAGGACCTTAGTTTTGAACTGAGTATCAAAAAAGTGAACTTCAAAATGAAGCTACAACATGGAATTCTGCAGCCACAAGCATCTGTTCATATTGTACTGTCTGTGGCTGTGCAAGTGACAACCACATCCACTTTTTAGCATGGGAATTTCAAGCAGAATCAGCCATGCTGATCTTTGTCATGTCGGCCAGTGTGAAATTGTGACTAGTAGGTTACTAATGCATTTTATATGAGAACTAGAACATCAAGAAAAATTTCATGGGGATGTGGTCTTTTCATTTGAGGCACAGTAAAATAGGCTGTACCTACGGTGGTTTGGAAACTTCTCCAGTCAATTTCCTCAATTGAATCATCTTCCAAATCCTAAATATTTGGTGTGACAACATAACAATTATCACAGTTGTGCTGACAGTTGTCATGATGCATGAGTCTTTCAATATTTGTCCATCCTTGACATTTTCAAGCAAAACAATTAAGGCCAATATTGTGGCCCCCTGGTGCATAATCCTACAGAGTTATCTTAGCAGTAACAAGGGTATTACATCAAGGCATAAAGTGGTAATTGATGGTGACAGTTGTCCAGAACATTGGTGATTGCTGATTACACTTCATTCATTGGGGTCCTGTCCATGAAATTTCAGGTCATGTTCATAAAATAGATCTTGACATTGTACTGGTGTTTTATTTTTGGTTCTGCTTCCTTTTCAGGTGAAGAAGTTTGTGAACAGTCTGAAGTTGGAAAAATGAAACACCCTTGTCATATTAAGAAATTCCTTGAGTAGGAATGATGTAGAGTGAGAGAAGACTTGGTGATTGGGATATTCTTTTAAGTGTTAGTGCATTGCTCACTTCAAGCTCTCTTCCTTATTTAAATAGGATTTAAATGCCAGTTACTTAGCATGAGTTATGCAGAAATTTAACTCTTTATCATGTTGACATATTTTCTACAGAAACATTGCACAGTATTCTTATGATGACAAAATCGATTGGAAACCACAATTGATCTGGTCTCTTCGAACTTAATATTTCATACTTCTGTCAGTTCATCCTATTCAATTTTGTTTATTTTTACTATAAACCATCACAACTAACCCAGGATAAAAGCTCATTTTTAACTTTTGCTGCTGATTCTTAGTTTTCGGCTGAGGATTGTGCATCATTTTAATTTACTCAATAAAAATGCATGGTGAATCACTTAGAAGTAACTTTTTAGTGCCGTATACTCAAGTAATAGTCAATCTCGTGTGAAAATTTGGTCCCGAACATTTGGCCAAAAAAATCTTCGTTTTTCATTTTCCTTGTAAAAAGTCAACTACCAGTTTTCCAAAGACATTCTACTCAGATTCTGCTTATTTTTTCTACTGTGCACTAAGAGTAATGGAACACAGGCCAGTATATGAAGCAGCAGTTTTGTGGTCTACCTGAATTAGTGCTTGATTAAAGTAGAGTGCAATTTCTCCACTGAGGTGCTTTGCAAGTTTTAGTTTAATTTCTCTTAGAAATGGCAGAAGTAAGATTGGGGAAAAAAAAAACTCCAGAATCAGTGTCAATAGCATGTGTGAGCTGTGAGCAAATTGTCTAAATTCCTCAGAAACTCATCTAAGCTCACTCAACTGTCATAAATAGTCCAGTGGCCCTATAGAAAAAGAAAAAGGATTATTGACATCTTTACTGAAAGAGTTTGCTGAAGAGGTGACAAAGATGGAAAGATAAGTCGATGGATGTTCTTACATAGACTTCCAGAATGATTCTGATCAAGTCCCACACAAGTTAGCTAAAGTGGAAGCCCACAGAATTGAGAGCACATTACTGACGTGGATAGGAAATTGGTTGATTGTCAGGAAACAGAGTTGGAATCATGTTTAAGTACTGAAATTGGCAATTCGTGTTAGTGTCTCAATTATTCACAGTATCCATTAACAATTTTGATAATGGCATAAAAAGTCAAATATCAAATTTGCTGATGACACAAAATTGGGCAGCATTTTAGACACTGTCAATGGCAGCATAAAATTACAACAGGATATTGATAGATGAGGTGAATGGACAAGGTTGTGGCAGATGGATTTTTATCTAAGCAAGAGGTTATCCGTTTTGGACCTAAAAAGGATAGGTCGGGTTATTTTTAGAAGGCACAAAGTTAAATACAGTGGATGCCCGACAAGATTTAGGGGTTCAGGTGCATTGCTCTGTAAAATGCCATGAACAGGTACAGAAAATAGTCAAGAAGGCTAATGAAATGCTGGCCTTCATATCTATGGAGTTGGAATATAGGGATAAGATGTTATACAAAAACCTAGTTTTACACCACTTAGAGTACTGTGAGTGGATCTGAGCACCACACTTTCGGAAGGATGGTTTGGCCCTGGAGGGAGATCAGTGTAGTGTAGATCAGCGATTAGACGAATTTGGCCTTGAGACTCCAGAAGGGTGATTTAGTCAAGGTTTTGAGGTTATTAACAGGGAAAGACCTTTTTGAGTAGGAATGATGTACAGTGGTAAAAGACTTGGTGACTGAGATATTCTTGTAGGTTTTAGTGTATTGTTCACACCAAGCTCTATTCTTTATTTTAAATAGGATTGAAATGTCCATTTCTTAGGTTGAGTTATGCAAAGTCAAAGAATTTGGGCCATGTCATTCAGGGGAGATATTAGAAAGCACTCAAACACTGGGAGTAGAGGATGTTTGGAACTCTCTTCCTCAAAAGGTGGTTAATGCTAATTTTTAAATCTGAGGTCAGTAGTTTTTCATGAAGCAAGGGCATCAAGGAATATGAGCCAAAGGCAGGCATACAGAGTTAGGCCACAGGTCAGCCATGATCTGATTGAGTGGTACAGTAAGCTCAAGGAGCTGAATGGAGTACTCCTGTTCCCCTGTTCCAGTCCACTTCTGAGTCATGTGTGTCTGAGACTGAAACATAAAAAATCTAGCATGTTCTTTGCTTCTGTATGAGCCCTGACCTTCAAAGTAACCCCTTTGAAAATATTATTTACATAAAAGCTTACCCCTTAACTTTTTTAGGGAAAAAGGAGTTTCATATTTCACTGTTAGATAAGAATGTGCAACATATATTTTGACTATTTTCTATTGTTTATTGGCTTAGTTTTCAGTTTTGACTGGTTCAAATTAAGGTCATGTTTAAGCTTTCTCATCAGTTCAGTGTTTGTATTTAGAGTCAGAGAGATATACGGCACGTAAACAGATCCTTCAGTCCAACTCATCCATGCTGACCACATATCCTATGTAAATCTAGTCCCATTTGCCAGCATTTCGCCCATATCCTTGTAAACCTTTCCTATTCATATACCCATCCAGATGCCTCTTAAATGTTGTAATTGAACCAACCTCCACCACTTCCCCTCGGAGCTCATTCTGTACATGCACCACCCTCAGCGTGAAAACGTTGCCCCTTAGGTCCCTTTTACATCTTTCTCCCTCACCCTCAATCTATGTCATGTAGTTTTGGACTCCCCCATCCCAGAGAAGAGACCTTGGCTATTCACCCTATCCATGCCCCTCATGATTTTATATACCTCTATAAGGTCAGCACTCAGCCTCCGACGCTCCAGGGAAAATAGCCCCAGGCTATTCAGCCTCTTATAGCTTAAACCCTCCAACCCTGGCAACATCCTTGTAAATCTTTTCTGAACCATTTCTGATTTCACAACATCTTTCCTTTGGGATAGAGACCAGAATTGCACGCAATACTCCAAAAGTGGCCTAACCAGTGTCCTGTACAGCCACAACATGACACCCAACGCCTATACTTGATGCACTGACCAATAAAGGCAAGCATATCAAACACCTTTACTATCCTATCTACCTGCGACACCACCAAAAGAACTGCAGATGCTGTAAATCAGGAACAAAAACAGAAGTTGCTGGAAGAGCCCAGCAGGTCTGGCAGCATCTGTGAAGGAAAAATAGAGTTAACGTTTTGGGTCCGGTGACCCTTCCTCCGTTTGTCAATGTTTCCTATACCTATTTCTTTTAGTGTTATTGTAGTCTTATGGTCTTAAGTGTAGCTGATAAGAGAGTAGCCCATAGCTTTGGAGGTTTAAAATAATGTCTGTAAATGTAATAACTTGCTGTTATAGGTTGTCACTCCTGACAGTTATTCAGTGATTATCCTATTGTGCAGAATCACAATTCTGTTAGTTATCAGCTATACGGATAAAACCTAAGAGTGACTTCAATGAAAGAATTCTTTCAAAGCATAGATGATGGAGTAGAAAATCAGATCACTTTGAAGATTGCAATCTTCAATTACTGTGTTAAAAATCCACACTTTTACATCCCTAAAATTATAAGGTCAAGTGGAATATATGGGATGGCATTAAAATTGGGCACAGCGTGGTGGAAACACTGGTCAGTGGGCACTGTACCTCTCACTTTTCACACAGGATTCTGGACCCAGTTTGCGATTGTGAATAGAGATAGGTAGTAGTCGACATTCCTATAGCTTGCTGGCAAGCCATTTCCTTGCCACAGTCCTGAATCCTGGCCATTCTCTTAGAGGTCAATTTGGCCAGAAGCAGCAGGTAGCTTTTTAAAATCAATTAAAAGGCTAATTAAGACCATTGATAAGTTGACTGGAATTGTTCACATGTATTTTGGGCCCTCAGCCATATTGGGAGAATGGCAGATCTCTTTAAGTTGCCTCCCAGTGACAGAGCAGGGGCCCAGCAATCCAGGATCACTTTAAGACTTCCTCTCGCATCCCAATGTACTTATCATACCCACCTGGTCACCACTGTGGCCACAGGCTGCCCACCAGTAAACCTCTGTTTCCACAACAATGATGTGGCAGCTGTGGCCATTTTTTTCTTCAGTTTTGTAATAAGTGCAGAGAAGGGACCCATTACCTGCATTGGCAGGCTGTAGATCCTTCAGTTCTGAGCGTACTGCTATTGGTCATTAACCTTCAAGCCTTACCTTCAACAGCCAATTACTTTTGCCTGACCACTGCCACTATGGGTGCGCTCACACAACTGACAAAGAATGTTGATGAGATCTATGACTGCCTCCCCTTCCTCACCCATGTTTCCTTCTTATGCCCTGACCAAGATTGTTTCTGCCCACCCTTCTAAGGCTACCACACGTAAACTTTATTGGAGAAACAGCTGTTTCTGTCTCATTTTCCTGTCGCCTGATCCTGATGCTGTAACACTCAGAATATCTTGAGGAAATTGAAGGGATGTCAGGAGAAGTCCAGGTGCTGGTCTAAAGGTCTGCTCGTGTAGGCTTTCTCTCCCTTCATTTTAGTCTCATGGTCAGTTGTTTAGGCATCGCTGTCAGTTCAGCTATAGCATTTTGGCAGCCTTGCAGCAGGCTCCCTTCCAGTAAGAGAGATATTGCTGGGCATCCACTATACATGGCAGGTTAATGGATCAGGGTTCTCATCGGGAAGAAATTTTGTTCTTGTGCTGTTTTGCTTCTAAAGGAAAATGCAGCTAATGATTTTCATATGCTATATCTGTCTTCAATTGTGAAACTGAATAAAAACAGTAAACATGAACAGTTTCGGAGATAGTAGGAACTGCAGATGCTGGAGAATCTGAGATAACAAGGTGTAGAGCTGGATGAACACAGCAAGCCAAGCAGCATCAGAGGAGCAGGAAGGCTGACGTTTCGGGCCTAGACCCTTCTTCAGAAAACAG